AATTCTTTAGTGTATAATCCTTTCTCTAGATTGATATAGTTTATTATTGTTAAATTGTTATATTCATAATGAAGTTCACAAAGTAATCTCTTCATACCATTACTCTACCACATAACTTGAGCACATACTGCAAATACACGTATGAGGGTCTTTGCTCAAATCAGAAATCGGGATTTAAAAAACTCGATAATTTTCCTAATTTCATAAAAAACTGATAATGGAAATCAGAGAACTCGAAAAACATCAGAGAAAAAAGAAATTTGAAAAAAGTACGGTTTGGTCAATGGAGATCAAATTTTTGGAAAAATTCCAAAAATTTTGTCCATTGACCAAACCGCCTGCCAACACTTTTTTGTTAGTTTTCTTATTTTTTTATAATTCTTAATCAAATAAAAATTCTTATGTATTTCTAATGAATGTATTTTTAGTTTCACTATGAAACAATCAACTGCGGAGAATCTTGAAGAGACACTCTACACGACTTCCGAACCAAATGCCGATGTACATACCTGTGTTGTTGTCTTTGACCGGAAACATGCTGTTTCAATTCTCGATGGACGTCATTCTTCGTTCCAGATAGGAGAAAAAGTAATGCTTTACAACCTGCTGAATCCTGCAGTGAAAGTCGAGGTTTTTTTCGAGCTTTTTTTTAGTTGCTCATTTTAGCTGCTTTTTAGACTGTTGTGAGCGCCATCTCAAATTCTTATGATCTCATCGTTTTCAAGCTGTTGAGTGGAGAATTCAAAACATATGTACCCGAGCTGGAGATTCTGTTCCGTGGGCAAAGATACGTGCAACTGGGCATTAGTCCGAGTCGAAACCCACTTTGGAATGGCGGTATAGTTTCGGAGAAGCGTGGTATGTCTTACTTGTTTACTTTAGAGATGTTAGTGGTAATGAGAGTTTGATTTAGATGGCTTCTATGTCGGTCCATCACACCGAAAGCTAAAAGAGTCAGCATCTGGCATTTTCACTGATAATGGCTGCTTAATTGGAATGGCTACTGGAACCAAGCCTTTCGCATTCTCCGATCCCGAAAATGCGTCATTTATAGAATTGGCTGAACATCAGCCTGTTACCCACATCATCAGTACCGACTCTATTTTAATGATGACGGGTATTGTGGGTTCAAATGTAATTTGGTTTAGTGAAAGAAATAGAGAGAAATAAGTCGTTTCGTTTCAGTTCGAGGCGTTGGAATACATAAACAAGGCCGGTGTTATGTAAATCTTCACTTCTGATGATCATGTATGGTCCTGTTTCACGTTTCACGTAAAATACGCGTGAGCCAATAGTGTTGGTGAACGAATTTTTTTTTATTTCTCTCTTTACGTTCTCTTTAACTGTCCTCATGTTCAAGGGTTATGTGCCTTCGAGAACATACAACATCACATAGACCAGTGGCAACAGAAATAATAAAATTTGATTTGTCCAGCGTAGTTGTTATGCAGAAAATAAAGTTCAGAAAGTAAAAGTAAAGTCGGAATTGAGTCGCACAAGACAGAGAGGAGATACTAGGACCCCATCTTGGTCCTATTTTTATGTAACTAGATCATATTGTTTTAAAGCTAGCTTTCTGTTTTCGAAGATATAGTATTATCGCTTCTACTGTCGGATTTACGCATCCGCGTATTCTTCGTGCGTTCCCTCCTATTCATTTGGAACTGAAGCGACGCTTGCATGATTTTGAATGTTTCAACTTCAAACCCGAAGTGTCAGGGCAGATATTCAAACTCAAGAACTGAGTTCCATCAAATTCAAAGAATAGTGGAACCTTAGAGAAATTTTGCACAAACCTTCGAGCTATCAGCATCCAGACTGTTCACGGCGAAGGATATTGAATAGTGCAGGTATATTATTTGAATTTCGTACGATCGCGTCGTACTACATCGTTTCAAATTTAGCATTGGTCCACGCTCTCTCGTTGGGAAAAAGCCGAAAATGTCGAGAAAAAAAATTTCAGAGGAGTTTTTGGAAATAGAGGATGAAATTAAATCGATCGAGGTTGAAATAAATAAGCTGAAACGACGTAAATCTCTTCTTGTAGCAAAAAAAGAACAGGTTACAACTTCTTTGCTACTTCTACTCCAAGTTTTCCAGATTTTGGCCAGAATATCTGCAGAAGACGTTGATGATACGACTCTTCATAGTCAGTGGGAGAATGATCAGTTCCCTTGGTCGCAAGAAGCTCAAAGTGTTCTCGAACGGGTTTGCCATATCCGTTTTCTCCAATTCATTGGGTACTGCAGGTATTCAAACTTCAAGTGTTCCGTCCATTGCAAAAAGCTGTGATAAATGCTGCGATGTCCAAAGAAGATGTAATCGTCATCATGAACACGGGAGGAGGGAAGAGCTTGTGCTATCAGTTACCTGCACTGCTAATGAAAGGTGTTTTATGATGTAGTAGTTAACGAATGAAGTTTGAAGGCTTAACACTGGTTGTTAGCCCTTTGGTATCGTTGGTTGAAGATCAGCTAGCCCAACTTGATAAATTAGGAATTGAAGCGGCCACTCTGAATCAAAACTCTACGAAAGAAGAAGTAAGTCGTGTTATGATAATTTCCCTCATTTTCGTTGTTCAGGTTACCCGCATAGAAAGAGCGATCACGGATAAGAACTCTTCCTTCAGGCTTCTTTATGTGACCCCTGAGAAATTGGCAAAGAGTAAAAGGATTATGAACAAATTGGAGAAGTCTCTCGACGTTGGGTTCCTGAAGGTGAACTCTTATTTCGAACTTCTTGAATTTGCCCATTGTAGCTAATAGCAATTGATGAAGTTCATTGTTGTTCCCAATGGGGTCACGATTTCCGAAAAGATTATTCCTTCCTAAATGTACTGAAACGGCAGTTCAAGTGAGAATTTTGAGTTTAACAACTTGTTACCACTGTATCGAATTTTCAGAGGTGTACCTATACTTGGACTCACTGCCACAGCTACGCAGAAAGTTCTAGACGACGTCAAGGAAATGCTAGGAATGCAAAGTCTGCTTCACCTCTATTCTAGAATACATAACAAACTCTTAAGGCAGCATTGTCTTCCGCGCTGGCTTCAATCGTCCAAATTTGAAATATGAAGTAATCCACAGGCCTTCATCGGATAATGCAGAGGAGATTGTCGAAATTATCAAGAATAGGTTAGTATAGTTAGTCCCATTGGTACTTTAGGCTGATTTATACCAGATTTCATAAGAAGAGCGGAATCATCTATTGTTTTAGTCGCAAAGATTGTGAGGAACTTGCTAAGAAGTTGAAGTTTGTTTTCTCTGTAATATCCTCTACAGTCCGAATTTTAGAGCTTTAGGATTATCAGCTTATCACTACCATGCCTATTTAGAACCTGCGAAGAGATCAAAAGTTCACGAAAACTGGTGCTCTGGCAAAATTCAAGTCATTGTCGC